GCCCCGACCCGGTCGGTGATGGGCCTGGACCCCCGGGACCGCGTGGCCCAGGTGGGGACTGCTCCCGGCTGGGCTGAAGCAGCTTCTTCCTGCAGATGGTGTCAGTCCTGGTGCGAGAAGGTCATGCCGTCTCAGACATGGTAAGGCCGGGCTGCTGCTGCCACTGGGCTGGGGGTTCCTGGAGTCTCCCAAGTTCCTTCAGGGACTGCTGTGTCTGGAAGGCGGCCCCCACCAGCACGGAGGCGCTGCGGACTCGGACTTTGGCCTCTGGAGAATAATCTAGGAGGCAGGGGGTGGGGGAGAACCTAGGGGAGTGTGGTCCCATGGTCTCAGCCAGGCTGTGTCCTTGGAGGGGTGGGAGGCGCCCCGTCCCCACAGCCCTTCTGGTACCCAGCAGTGGGTGGTCTTCCCAGGAAGTGCCCGCTCCACGCTCTTCCCCCAAAGTCTTGCCCTGTCCTGGTGCCTAAAGCTCCACCTTTAGAACACTAGGGTTCCCAATACCCCCCTGTCTACCCACCATCCGGGTCCCTGGCCTGTTAGGAAGCAGCCACCCAGCAAGAAGTGAGCCCACTCCTGCCTTCGCTCTACCACCCTTCAGATCAGATTCTCCTAGGGACCCCTATGTCACTGTGCCAGCGAGGGACCTGGGTGGGAGTGCACTCCTTAAGTGCCTGATATCTGAGATGAGACAGCTTAATTCTGAAACCCTCCCCACCCCCATCGGTTCATGGAAGAACTGTCTTCCACAAAACTGGTCCCTGGTGCCAAAAAGGTTGGGGACTGCTGCCCTAGGGGACCTTTTTCTCAAACTGTGTCACACAACACTCCAAGGAAATGATGGGAACTGGGAGGAAAGCAGGTTCCATGAGCAGGTAAGTTTGGGAAACGCTGCAGCCTGCACTTGCCTGGAACTTTATCACGTATTAAAGGCTCTGGTAAGGCCCCAGAGAAATAAGCAAATTTCCTTGTTTAAGGTGGAGTTCAGCGAGTTACAGGCCAAATGCAGCCCCTACGGCTGGAACAAGGAATTGTTACACTTTGTAATCACTGATTACACTTTGTAATCACTGGGGGAAAAAAGAACAATCTTTTGTGGCACTTGAAAAGTATATGACATTCACACCTCACAACAGCAAATACAGCTTCACTGGCACACAGCCCCCCCACTCGACTGAGTATCCTCAGTGGCCACTGTCCCATTGCAGCGACAGCCCGCCAGCTTCCAGGGTGACTGCTGTGGGGCCCACAGGCCGAGTCTCTGGGCAAAAGCTTCCTTCCAGCCCCTTCACAGTCACTCCTGGGCTGCGTCCTCATCCTGTCACCTGCACATCTGCCAGCTCAGTCACTCTTGGGTGAGGGTCACTGGTGAGCTGGGTCAGGGTGTCGGCTCCGGATGTGGGGTCCAGGCCTGGGGGCCCCTGCGTGTGCAGGTGGGGGGGATGGCTCAATGGCCTCGGCCTGGCCCACTCCTGCCCCACGCAGAGCCAGGGATCCCGGGCCTCATTTCCAGCCCAGGGCTGCTTGATTCATTCCTTCAGGTTTTCCAAAGCTACCTTGACCCAAAAGCCGCCAGGCACTGGGCAGGGCACCCACAGCAAGATGATGACGTTCCTGCCCGGGAGATGGCAGGAGGGCCGGGAGAGGGGGGCAGTTGCCCCTCATGGCCCCGCCCCCAGAGCCCACACATAACCTTGGCAACCAGGCAGCCTGAGGGAGGGGGCACTGGGAGCTGATGGGGGATCTGTGGGCAGAGGAGTCAGGCTGGGGTGGGGGTTCCAGGGCATGGATTTCCCCCTACTCCCCTCCCCTGCCGGCCTCCTTACTTTCATGATCTCATTGGAAGCACTTGGGCTCTGAAAGGAGGCAGCACTCCATTCATTCATTCATCTATTCAATAATTCATTCATTGATCATCCATTGGCTGGTGGGAACAGTGCAGGGGCAGGGGACAGTGGCCCTGGGGTCCCAGCCTGCAGAGGCCGAATTCACCCAGAGCTGCCTGAGCACCCCCATCCCCTCCACACCCCTGGCTCCCAGTGTCATCCATCTGCCTAGATAGTGCCCCAGTAACAGGCCGTGCACATGAGTGCTTTACTTTGTAATTCTCTGGTTGGGAGCGTCCCTCCCTGCCATATTCCTTTTCCTTGCCCTTCCTTCCATTTCTACCCTTTGCCTGCTTTCTTGCTGGGGAAGTCTCCTGTCTTCCACCCATCCCCCTGCCTGGGCTGGAGGCTTTGCAAGTCTGCTCACTGTGGACTTGCCTGCAGTGTCCTGTGCTGAACAGAAACCCTCATTTTAATGGACCTAATGCAAAACCCCTTACCTTAGAACTGTGTTTTTTGTGTTTCGTTTGAGAATCTCGTGTGCTCCTCAGTCACAATGGTAATCGACTGCGTACCTATTGCGCATGTGCACCAGCGAGGGGTCCTGCTCTGTTTCTCTCCTTAGAGTGAGCCCAGCTGCCAACGTCCTCCACCTTGCCCTTTTCTTCCAGCATTGCTGGAATCCAGCGTGTGCCTGGGCATTGTGGGTCTCTCTGAGCCCTGTCTTCAAGTCCACAGGCCGCTTTGGCGACCCTACACTATCCACACTGTGGCTCTGCGGGATGGCTTCATATCCATCCCCTTCACTCTTGCTCCAGGGTTCTTTGTGGATCTCATTGTTGCAGATAAATTGTAGAATAGGTTTGCCAGGTACCAACTACCACCACCACCACCACAAAAAAAAAAAAAAAAACAAAAGACAAAAAACAAACCCTGGATTTTTTTTTTTTTTTTTTTTTTTTTTTTTTTAGATGGAGTCTTGCTCTGTTGCCCAGGCTGGAGTGCAGTGGCGTGATCTCTGCTCACTGCAACCTCTGCCTCCCGGGTTCAAGCGATTCTCCTGCCTCAGCCTCCCGAGTAGCTGAGACTATAAGAATTTTGATTGGGATAAATAACAGCCTTATGCTGTCAAGCCATCCATTCAAGAACATGGATGACCTCTCCAAATATTTCAGGTCATCCATGTACTCATTAGCATCTTAAAGTGTTGCCTGTAGAGGTCCTGTATTGTACTGGTTAATTCATCAATACTTTGTTAAGTTTGGTTTTTTGAGACAGGGTCTCACTCTGTTGCCCAGGCTGTAGTGCAGCGGCGGGATCACTGCTCACTGCAGCCTTGACCTCCCTGGGCTCAAACAATCCTCTCACCTCAGCCTCCCGAGTAGCTGGGACTACAGGCTTGTGCCATCACGCCTGGCTAATTTTTGTAGTTTTTGTAGAGATGGGGTCTCACTATGTTGGCCAGGCTGGTCTTGAACTCCTGGGCTCGAATGATATGCCCTCTTTGGCCTTCCAAAGTGTTGGGATTACAGACATGAGCCACGGCTCCTGGCCTTAAGTTTGTTTCTATTATGAACGTTGCCCTATATTTAAAAATTATATCCTCTTTTTATTTGTAAATTTTTTGTAGAGACGGAGGTGCACTATGTTCCTCACCAGGCTGATCTCAAACTCCTAGCCTTACCTACTGTGCTTGTCTGTTCAACTATTAGGATTTTTACGTTTATATTTTTCCCCTTCGTTCTTTAAGAAAAGGTGTTCTTGGTATGCTTCCTCCTGGGAACCCCTCCCTGTTCCTGAGGCGCTTTGTGCTGTGACACATTCCTGTGCCTATGGCTCCGCCTCTGCCTCTATGGGTGGACTTGTCCGCCCTGCTGGCAGAGCCGCACCTTCAGGTGTGCACGGAACTGAAGTGTGACCTCACGCCGCTGGAGGTGTTGGCCTCTTGCTCAGGTGCAGTGCTCCTGGAAGGGCCGAAGAGTGGGCCCTGCCCTGGGTGGGCATGCCCTGTTGTGCTGAGCCCCTCATAACCTGGCACCAAGGGTTGCCCTGGCCCAGCGCTCACCCTCAGCCCCTGAGAAGCGCAGAAGCAAGAAGGCAGGAAGCCGAGGTCCTGGCACTTGGAGGAGACGGGGAGGGAGGGGCGGCCGGTCAGACCCCCATATTTCTGCTGACACCCGAGGCCTGGGCTGTGGCCCCACTTCTGTGGTGAGGGAGCTGCATGGCCCACACCAGGCCTAAGAAACAGCAGGGGCAACTCCACTGCCCCGCTACACTCCCTGCCTCCGCCTGCACCCCTGGCCCCCAGATGCAGCCTCTCCCTCCCTCCCCTCCTTCCCTCCCTCCCTCACACACCAGATTCCCCAGAGGCCGGGCAACGTTTGAACCTGGGAGCCCTGGGCCTGTGCACGTTCTCAGGGGGCTATGGGGGAGGCGACAGGCCTTGGCCAGAGTCACCTCTGCCCCAGACTCCCCACGGCTCCGTCTCGCTCCCGGGCTGGGGCTCTGCCCCTGGCCTGAGACCTCCAGCTCAGGTACAGGACACTGGGCTGTGCCTGCCTCGGGGACTTGCACACGCGGCCCCATCTTTCCCAGGCCAGATCCTCCTCCTCTGGCAGCCTCAGCCAGGCCGAGGATCCCAGGCCTGAGCTCGCCCGGCTCCCTTCCGTGGACAGGGGCTCGCTTCTCGTCCCAGGGGACTAGGGGCGGGGTGGGCGCGGAGCAGGCCCGGACCCCCGCATGGCACCGCCTTAGCCAGTGCCTCTTGCAGCTCCTGCCGCTGGATGGGGAACTCGTCCTGGCTTCAGGAGCCGGATTCGGCGTCTCAGACGTGGGCTCGCACCCGGACTGCGGCGCGGGTGAGGCAGTCGGGCAGGGGCGGGGCTCTGGAAGGGCGTGTTCAGGGGCGGAAACTGGGAGAGGGCGTATCCAGGGCGGGGACTGGAGGGAAGGCGTGCCCAGGGGCGGGGACTGGAGGGAAGGCGCGTCAGGGGGCGGGGACTGGAGGGAAGGCGTGTCCGGGGCGGGGACTGGAGGGTGGTGCGTCCGGGGGCGGGGACTGGAGGGAGGGCGGGCCCGGGGGGGGGGACGGGGGGGAGGTGCATCCGGGGGCGGGGACTGGAGGGAAGGCGCGTCCGGGGCGGGGACTGGGGGAAGGCGCATCGAGGGAAGGCTTGTCGAGGGGGCGAGGACTGGAGGGAGGGCGTCTCTCCCGGGGCGGGGTTTAGGGAATGGCGGAAGTGTCCCGAAGCGGGGCTTGGGAGGTCGTGCTCAGAGGCGTGGCGTGGTGTGGTGCGGGGCTTGTTCCGTGGAGCTCAGGGATGCGCCCCCGCTCAGGCGACCCTGCGGTATTCCGCGACTCTGACCGCTTCTCCTGGCATGACCCGCACCTGTGGCACTCCGAGGACGAGGCACCTGGTCTCTTCTTAGTGGACGCCGAGCGCGTGCCCTGCCGCCACGACGACGTCTTCTTTCCGCCCAGTGCCTCCTTCCGCGTGGGGCTCGGCCCTGGCGCTGGCCCCGTGCGTGTCCGGAGCATCTCGGCTCTGGGCCGGGTGAGCACTGCGGGGAGGGAGGCTCGGCCCCCCTCTCCCCGCCTCGGCCCCCCTCTCCCCGCCTCGGCCCGCCCCCGCCCGCCCCCGCCCCTGCTGGTCTGCACACGTTGGGTCTGAGCACTCAGGTGATGTCTCTTCCTGGGGCTGGCTCCGGCGGGGACCCGGCTGCCCGCAGACGTTCACGCGCGACGAGGACTTGGCTGCTTTCCTGGCGTCCCGCGCGGGCCGCCTACGCTTCCACGGGCCGGGCGCTCTGAGCGTGGGCCCCGAGGACTGCGCGGACCCGTCGGGCTGCGTCTGCGGCAACGCGGAGGTGAGCGAGGCCGCAGTGGAGTCTCGGGGGCCGCGCGAGGGTCGGGACTGTGCCCGGGACAGGGCCGCCGCGCTCCCGCGGTCCTTCGCTGGCTTGCCTCTCCGACGCATCGCCCTTCTCGCTGCGGTCCGCTCTGGCCCTCCGCGCTGACCACTGCCCCTCGCACCAGGCGCAGCCGTGGATCTGCGCGGATCTGCTCCAGTCCCTGGGCGGCCGCTGCCCCCAGGCCGCCTGCCATGGCGCCCTCCGACCCCAGGGGCAGTGCTGTGACCTCTGTGGTGAGCGCCCCCGCTGGGCCCTGCTTGCTGGGAAGGCCTGGAGGACCTGGTTCGCCCCCGCCTCAGTTTCCTGCCGGGTCCAGATCCACGGCGCTGACCCCTGCCCTCCCGCCGCAGGAGCTGTTGTGTTGCTGACCCACGGTCCCGCATTTGACCTGGAGCGGTACCGGGCGAGGATACTGGACACCTTCCTGGGCCTGGTAATGGGGCCGCGCGGGCAGCTGAGGGGAGTCCCGACCCCAGCCCTACCGCCTCCGCCTAGGACGCCCCTTCTGCAGGACCCCTGCGGCCGCCCACCTGCCCACTATCTGCCTCTGCCCTTAGCGTCCCCATAGGCTCGAGGAGGGCGGGGGGCTGAGTCAAACCAACCCCGTCCCCCTCCCCAGCCTCAGTACCAGGGGCTGCAGGTGGCCGTATCCAAGGTGCCACGCTCGCCCCTGCTCCGCGACGCCGATACCGAGATCCAGGTGGTGCTGGTGGAGACCGGGCCCGAGACGGGCGGCGCCGGGCAGCTGGCCCGGGCCCTCCTGACGGACGTCGCCAAGCACGGTAACCGCGCCCGCCCGGTCCCTCCCTGCCGCTCCTGGCCCCGCCGCGGAGACTGAGCCGACCCCTCCGTCGCAGGCGAGGCCCTCGGCGTCCTGGAGGCGACCATGCGGGAGTCGGGCGCACATGTCTGGGACAGTTCCGCGGCTGGGCTGGCGGGAGGCGTGGCGGCTGCGCTGCTGCTGGCGCTGCTGGTCCTGCTGCTGGCGCCGTCGCTGCTGCGCCGTGCCGGGAGGCTCAGGTACCTGGGGCGGGGTGGCGGGGTGGGGCTGGGGGTTGCCCCGAGGGGCTCACGCTACGTCCCTAATACGCACTCAGGTGGAGGCGCCAGGAGGCGGCCCCGGCCGGGGCACCCCTCGGATTCCACAACCCGGTGTTCGACACGAAGGCCTCCGAGGAGCTGGTGAGAGGGCTGGAGGGTGGACTGGGGCCTCCTTGGGGCCAGGACCCTGAACGCCGTCTGACCCTGTCACCCCGCAGCCCCTGCCCCGGCCGCTCAGCCTGGTTCCGAAGGCTGCCGCAGACAGCACGAGCCACAGTTACTTCGTCAACCCGCTGTTCGCCGGGGCTGAGGCTGAGGCCTGAGCGGCCGCCTGACAGTCAACCTTGGGGCTCCCCACCCCCTCTGGCCCCAGAACCTCCCCGACCCCAGTCCATCTGGGGGCTAGCCACCCCCTCGTCCAGCCCCCAAACCTCCCCTTCCTTACCCCCTTCTCCGGAAGCCAAGGACAGGGTGGCCTTACTCAATAAAGGTGTTTCCTGCACCTGCTTCAGCCTGGACATGCCGCCCCTGGCCCCGCCCATGAGGACTGGGAGCCCAGTCTTGCACCCTAGTCGCACTGGGGGACATGGGAGGGGTCTAGCTGGCTACTGCTGGAGGCAGCGCTGGTCACCACCTGGGTGGCCAGAGGCTGGGGTCTGTGAAGGTGAACCCAGGACTAGGAGGGGGTCTCCCGCCACCTTCCGGTGGAGGGAGGGTGAGGAGCTGGAGGGAGGAGTGGGAGAGAGGCAAGGGGTGGAGGGAGCCAAAGGCTATGCCTGGTGGGGCGGACGGAAAAGGGGTGGGCACCCCTCCTGGCACCAAGCTGCTGGATGCGTCATACTGCGAAGGCAGATCATATGGGGTCACCCATGTGCAAGCGTGTACCACTGCACTGACAGACAAGGGCCTGACCCTGTGTGTGCAGCTGCAACTGTGGCATAGTGACCACTTGTGTGAAACCAGTATCTGGGGCTGGAGATGTCACCGGCATCCCCAGTCAGGGCCTGGCCCCCACGCGGAATCTTCTGCCCAGGGGCCCAGCTTAGCCACTAGAACACGTGCCGTAACCCAGATCAGGGCGCCATGCTGCCAGGCGCGTCTGTGTTGTGGTTGGAATGAGTCACTCTGGGTGCTGTGCAGTGTCCCGCTGAGTGACCACCACAGTTCACGCGTGTGCTCCAACAGCTACCATCTTGCATTTTAAAAAGTGGCCGACACTCCTACAGGCACTTTTCAGCCACAATTTTCTTTAGTGTCAGGTGCAAACTGGAGAGCAAGCCTGAGCTAACGGGACATCACCTGCCGCCTGCTGCTCACCCCACTCACAGATGCGACTGTGCTGGCAGGGACCTGCCCCTGGTGTGGACTCTGGAAGGAGAGATGCTCTGGGCTTCCAGGGGAGCTGCTTGCTGCTGCAGCAGCCCAGGCCATGCTGCCTGGCACACAGCTGCAAGGTCCCAAGTGCCCCCGCTGGGTGCTGGGCTGCCTGCCCTGGCTTGCAGTCTCCTCCCCAGTCCGCACTCTTCTGCAGGGGCCGGCACTGTCCTTATCCTACCAAGACAACTAGGTCTCAGTGAGTGGCAAACAAAAGCCAACTGCCTGCATAACTCGGGAAGCTGACTTCAAGCATCCTCTCAACCAGGGACCACTCACCCTGACCCAGGCCTCCCCGAGAGCTCCTGCCTCTTCCTGGGGCCTCTGCCTGCCCCATCCTGTCCCTTGGGGCTGCTGGCGGGGTTAGTGTGTATGGGTGTGGACATGAAGACCCTCCCCGGCAGCTCCCTCCTGGGGCCCTGGCGCTGCCTGGCTGGGGCTCACAGGCACGCTGCCTTCCTCCCACCCTTCACTCCTGCCCCAAGGATGCCCTCTGCTCAGACTGAATACCCCAACAGCAACCTTTTGGGTGACCTCCGAGTGAGTTACCCAGAAGAGCTTCTGCTGGCAACGTGGCTCCTTCACTGCCTTTTGGAGTTCAGACACTTCTGGGGCCCAGACACACAGGTGACGTTATCACATCCAGATGGACCACTGGGAACTTTAAAACTGCCGTCTTCTGCTTTATTGACAGGTAAATTGTTCAAAAATGTTCTCACGATTCAATAATTACAAAGACTCAGACTTACATTAAAAAAGTAAAAACCAGAACCCCCCAGGTGCCCATCCAGCAAAGGGCCCAGGAGGGCAGTGGGGTGGCAGGGCTAGGCGCTGCTGGGCCACTCAGTGCTGACTTGGAGAAGTGCACGTCCTGAACAGCCTTGCCAAGCAGCCGACCGGTGGGAGGACAGGGGAAGCCTGGCCCAAGCTGTGGACAAGCTGTGTCTGCCGCCACAGTTCATCACAAGCCTCTGACGACACAGGGCCACAGAGCTGGTCACTCAACATCTGGTACGAAGAAGGGTGAGGTGAAAGCCACGCGCAGGGCATTGCCGTGCTGTGGGCGGGGCCAGTGTGCAGGAGTGTGCTGGGTGGGTCTACGTGATCATACGGGCTACTAACCACGGGGGCTCCATGCAGGGGCAGGACTGGTGGGTGGGGGGCGGCGGGGGGTGTTCCAGTGGCTGCTTCATGGCGCCCTGGGGCTCTGACTCCTCTCAGCCCAGCAGGCCACAGGCCCAGCCTGCACCACGACACTCGCTGGTTTTACGGCAGGAGGCGAAAGCCGTGGAAGCGAGTGGAAAGCAGAGAGCACAGCTGACACCACAGTAGGAGATACTGGTGACACTTCATGGCTGCGACCCAGAATGAACTTAACGCACACCGGGACGCAGGGTGTCACTGGTCCCGGGCCTCTGGCCGCTAGGTGGTCACAGGACTTCTGCAGCTGACTGCAATGGCTAAGTGAAAAAAAGGCCACAAACTAACCTCCACTTTCCTCTGTCTTCAAAATTCTAGTGACACTGGGAATGCTATATGACCTCCTACTATTCTCCTAAGGTCCTAGGGAAGTTTCAGGAACTAGGGAAAAGACTGGGTACTGAGGCTGTGTCCCCAGACGTCTGCTTCCGAAGCAGCCGCGTCATGTCGGGTTTCTGCTGAGGAAGTGGCGTTGGCAGGGCCCCACACGCCTTCTCGGGTTGTCAGGGGTGGGAGAGAGGCTGTATGGGGGTCCTTCATGTGCAGACGGAACAGTGTCGCCTCATAGCTGTGCAGACGAACAGATGTGGTCTACTGCCACGAACAATGCGGCATAAAACTGATCAATATTATAATAAAGATTTGTCTTCTTCATCTCCATATCTACAAAGTGATTCTACATTTCCTTGGACAACACTGGAGGGCCTGCTCAGTCTTGGCACTGATGCTGGAGGCCATCCCCAGCTCCCCGGCCCCTGCGGCGAACCGGCGGCTTCAGGTGTCACAGGCCGGCTGCTCCAGGCCTTCGAGGGGGAGCTGGCTCCTGTGCGGGGAGTTGGGGCTCGGTGGGCCGCTGGGGTTGGAGCTGTTTGATGGAGTTGAGTGTTTGGTGGAGTCCGAATCAGGCTGTGAACAGGAAGAGGGCAGGGTGAACACCGCTGCCCTAGGCTGGGAGGCTCACGTGCCTAGCTGGATGCAAATGTTCGCTCAGGGACAGTTGTGGCAACTGCTTCTCCTTTTGTGTTATGAGAACACACACAGTCTACACCAGCGATTCGTGGGGCCTTAGGCTTGCTGGTGAGAGTCACAAATTGATGTCTAACCCCACTCAAAAATAACAGGGTAATTATCATTACAAAAGACAGCAACTCTAGTGAAGAAACCAGATGGGGCTGGATGCGGTGGCTCCCGCCTGTAATCCCAGCACTTTGGGAGGCCAAGGTGGGTGGATTGCACTTGAGGTCAGGAGTTTGAGACCAGCCTTGCCAACATGGTAAAACCCCATCTCTACTGAAAATACAAAAATCAGGCCGCACGCTGTGGCTTACGCCTGTAATCCCAGCACTTTGGGGGGCTGAGGTGGGTAGATCACAAGGTCAGGAGATTGAGATCATCCTGGTTAACACGGTGAAAACCCATCTCTACCAAAAATACAAAACATTAGCCGGGCATGGTGGCAGGCACCTGTAGTCCCAGCTGTTGGGGAGGCTGAGGCAGGAGAATGGTGTGAACCTGGGAGGCGGAACTTGCAGTGAGCCAAGATCGCACCACTGCACTCCAGCCTGGGTGACAGAGCGAGACTCCATCTCAAACAAACAAACAAAAATCAGCTGGGCGCAGTGGCGTGCACCTGCAACCAAGCAGTCAAAGTCACAAACACGACACTCTTTCCTGAGAAAAGCACTAGGAATAGAGGGGAACTTCCTCAACAAAATAAAACAGCTAACCATACTCAATAGTGACAGACAAATTTATCCCCTAAGATCAGCAACGGGCTGGGTGTGGTGGCTCACACCTGTAATCCCAGCACTTTGGGAGGCTGAGATGGGCAGATCACGAGGTCGGGAGATCAAGATCATCCTAACACAGTGAAACCCTGTCTCTACTAAAAACACACACACACACACACACAAAATTAGCCAGGCGTAGTGGAAGGCACCTGTAGTCCCAGCTACTTGGGAGGCTAAGGCAGGATAATGACGTGAACCCAGAAGGCAGAGCTTGCAGTGAACCGAGATTACATGACTGCGCTCCAGCCTGGGCGACAGAGTGAGACTCTGTCTCAAAAAAAAAAAACAACAAAAAAAAGATCAGCAGTAAGACAAGGATGCCTGCTTTCATCACTGCTATTCAACATGTGACTAGAGGTTCTAGCCAGAGCAATCGGGGAAGAAAAAGAAATAAAAAGGATTCCAAGTTAGAAAAGAAGTAAAACTATCTCTGTTTGCAGATGACATGATTATACACATAGAAAATCCCAAAGAAAAGAATCCACAAAAAACTAACACATTCAGCAAAGTTATAGAGTATAAGATCAACACATACAAGTCAGTTGTATTTCTATACACCAGAAATGAACACATTGAAAAGGAAACTGAAAAAAAAAAAATTCAATTTACAATAGCATCCAAAAGAATAGCTAGGAATACTTTAACCAGAGAAGTGAAAAATCTGTACACTATAAATTACAAAACATTGCTGAAAAAAATAGCTTACATAAATGGAACATACCCCATGTTCATGGAGTAAAAATATTGTTGATGGCTGTACTAGGCTGGGTACAGTGGCTCATACCTGTAATCCCAGCACTCTGGGAGGCCAAAGTGGGTGGATCATTTGAGGTCAGGAGTTTGAGACCAGCCTGGCCAACATGGTGAAACCCCACCTCCACTAAAAATACAAAAATCAGCCAGGTATGGGGACAGGCACCTGTGATCCCAGTTACTTGGGAGGCTGAGGCATGAGAATCACTTGAACCCAGGAGACGGAGGTTGCAGTGAGCCAAGATGGCGCCACTGCACTCCAGTCTAGGCAACAGAGCGAGACTCTGTCTCAAAAAAAAAAAAAAAAAAAAAAAAAGGCATTAATGATGAGGAATGTAAATGACAACCTATAGAACAAGAGAAGACGCCTGCACATGACATCTCTCACAAGAGACTGGTATTCAGAACACACCAGGAGCTCCTACAACCCAGCCACAAAAGGACAAACCACCCACTTCAAAAATGGGCAAAGGCCTTGAGTAGACATTTCTCTAAAGAAGGTATGGAAATGGCCAACAAGCATATGAAAAGATGTTCAACATAAGCCTTTAGGGAATGCAAATCAAAACCACAATCAGGTACTACTTCAAAGCCACTAGAATGACTATTAAAAAGAAGAAAAACAAGAACAAGTATTGGTGAGGATGTGGAGACATGAGAACGCTCACACTGCTGGTGGAAATCTAAAATGGTACAACCGCTGCAAGAAACAATTTGGTGGTTCTTCAAAAAGTTAAACATAGAATTACCACATAAATCCAGCAATCCCACTCACAGGTATGAACCCAAATGTGAAAACAGGCACTCAAACACATATGTGTTCATAGCAGCACCACTCACAACAGGTGAAGGATAGAAACAGCCCAAATGTGCATCAGGGGAAGAATGGGAAAACAAACTGTGGTCTACCCATACAAGAGAGTATTAGTTAGCAACAGAAATGCCAACACTGATACCTGCTACAACGGGGGTGAGCCACAAAAACAGCACGCCAAGCGAAAGCTAGGCACAAAAGGTCAAAACACATTTCTGTAAGAAAGGCCGGGCATTGCATTTCTACGAAATGTCCAGAACGGCGACATCACAGAACACTACTGGCAGCCCCGGTGCTGATGGGAGGGAGGGACGGGGAGAGAGTGCTTAAAGGGCTGGGGGTTTATTTTGAAATGATGAACATGTCTTTTTTATTATGGTTTTTTTTTTTTTTTTTTTTTTTTTTGAGACGGAGTCTCGCTCTGTCGCCCAGGCTGGAGTGCAGTGGCCAGATCTCAGCTCACTGCAAGCTCCGCCTCCCAGGTTTACGCCATTCTCCTGCCTCAGCCTCCCGAGTAGCTGGGATTACAGGCGCCCGCCACCTCTCCCGGCTAGTTTTTTGTATTTTTTTAGTAGAGACGGGGTTTCACCGTGTTAGCCAGGATGATTTCGATCTCCTGACCTCGTGATCCGCTCGTCTCGGCCTCCCAAAGTGCTGGGATTACAGGCTTGAGCCACCGCGCCCGGCTTTATTATGTTTTAGAGATAAGATCTCACTACACTGCCCAGGCTGGCCCTGAACGCCTCAGGCGATCCTTCCACCTCAGCTTCACTAGTAGCTGGCACTACAGGCGTGAACCATGGTGCCCAGCTAGAGTGGAAATGTTTCTGAATGAGAAAGAGGTGGCGACTGTGCATCTCTGTGGATGTACTAAACGTCACTGAGTTATTCACTTTAAAGGAGTTATTTTGGGCCCAGTGTGTTGGCTCACGCCTGTAATCTGAACACTTTGGGAGGCCGAGGTAGGAGGACAGCTTGAGCCCCGGAGTTGGGAGACCAGCCTGGGCAACAAAGTGAGACCCTGCCTGTGTATTATTACGAAAATAAAAAAACAAAGTTGTTTTGTGAATTTCACTTAAATTCAAAAGAACAAACAAGGTCATGCAGGTGAGACAGGCACTGGCTGCCTCAGGACACAGTACCCTAAGAGGGACAGCGTCTCCTCTGTATAGTGTGACAGCCTAAGACACGTTTCAGATCTCATGAGCAGGAAACAGCGGACAAACTCAAACTCAGGAGCATTCCGTAAAGTAACAGCAGTGCTTGCTACAAAAATGTGACTGTCCCACCAGACAAAGACAGGCTGGGGCCTGCTGCAGAGTAAAGGGTGGAAGAGTAGGATGGACAAAGGACGGAAAAGACAAAGGACTTCCAGAGGAAGAGACGCCGACCTTGGCAGAACCAGCAACATGTGCAAGGCATCTGCCTGCTCCTTCGGCAGCCAACGTTAAAACATCTCAGTGCTGGGGCTTCGATGTGTGGTGGAGTGATGGGCATGGCCCCTCTGCCTGCATCCCTCCCTCCCTCCCTCCCTCCAAGGATGGCGCCGGGGGCTAAGCCCTCAGCTCACTCCTCAGCCCTCAGCACTGCAGCTCCCTGCCTCCCTCGACTGCATTCTCACCCCCATTCCACATAGGAGAAACTGAGGCCAGAGCAGTGTGGCCAAGCTGCACACAAGAATGCTGCCAGCCAGAGTGGGGCTTGTCCTGGAGGTGGTCCCCACACTCTGACACCAAGCGCCATCCCAGGTGAGGGGCAGAAGACAGACCAATGTGGAAAGTCAGCCCAGACCAAAGCGACTGCTGGTGTATCGCACTGAAGTACATAGAACAACACAGGAGTCCAGAGGAAGGAGGCAGGTTGGCGGGGAAGTTTCCATTCCTTGTGGGGCAGTGTGACAG